GACCCCAGCCATTCTCACCAAACTCGTAACCGAAGGACTAGCCAATCTAAAACCGAGCTGTCACGTGCGTAACAATGCCACGCCCAGCTGCACCCTGCACAAAGATTTTCCAGCTAATGGACCACAATCTGTGTACCTGCAGCTTGGGAGCGATTGTTACTGGGTCAGGTTAATTACGCAATTAACCCTTCACACTGCCACCACCTCCTTTTTGTACAGAGAAAGAGGAAACTCAGCAATATCAGCAATAACACTATGATGTTTGAATAATCGTTTGTATACACAATGTCACCGCAGACAGATGTATGCAGACTTTTAGAACACACAGTAGCGCTCTTCAGAGGCAGGGATTCTTAGTTTCCATTAAAGAGCTTTAGAAACAGTTCAACACTTTCAGAAAGTAAGATTTATTACTAAAAGGTCAAAATGGTGCAATAAAAATATTTACAGAAAAAGATGTAGCCAATATATATCTATATAAATATACAGAGATTTAGAGAAATTTAGAGAGGTGAAGTACTTGCCAAAAGTCATGGGTTAAGCAGATCAAGTTTCCTGAGCAAAAGTGCCTTTTCTCCCAAAGTTGGTTCCGATGTTAAAAGGGAGGATTCTTCAACTTTAACTCAACTCAGCTCAACTTAACTCCAAACATAACAGCTTTTCTAGGAACTCAGCAGGGTGTCTCCTTGAAGCAGAGAAGCAATCGCCTCATTTGGGGAGGGTGTTGGAGGCGGAGACCCCAGCTAGAACCAAAATCCCTTGCAGCTTATATCATGACCCATAACTTACCCTCGGTGCATGTAGCAGCCTAGCCACTAGTAGATTAATATGCAAAAGCATCCGCTGAACGTCTAGATATGAAATATGACATATCTGCTTGGGCGGTTAAGGAGATATCATTTTCTGCTCTCCTGTAGATTCCAGCTAGGGGTGTAATCTATCAGGCGACTTGTATTAACGTGACCGATCTGAATATATGCCTGGTCTCCTTGTAAGCCTTTCATATTCCAAGATATAAAATCATAGGGGAAAGTGGATTTTGAATGTGATGTCTGTTTTACGGCTTATCTGGAATGTCTTTGAAGATCTGTGAAGGACTTGGTTTATGTTTTTATGATATCTCAGAATGAGAAGCTAACAGACACCAGGGCACCAGCTAGTGGGATTTATAACCATTAAGCTCTCCCGCTGAGCCTGTAACCTCTGGCATCATCCAGACCACAATCCTGAGGGAGGGGGGAAATTGGAGGGAGGCTGGTTTGGGAGTAGAAATGATACAAGATGGAGGATCCTTCGCAAGATGGGTGACCGCGTCCATCTCTGTATGCACAATTGCTACAGACGCATGATCAGAAATGCCTCTAGCTGAATGACAAGAACATTCCTTCCGCTTGGGGTAAAAGTGCCACCGAACATCTCTCTGTTCTTAGGCAGTAGCCAATTGTAATAAATCTAAAAGTAGATTAGAGTCTTCCCATCTGTGGACATGGGGACATATTAAAGTGTTAATAAACCCAGGACCTTGCGTTCACTATATATGGTCTCCCACAGTACATAAAACATGTCATTATTTCAGTAATATATAAACTGCTAAATACCTTTTTTTCATCAGCAGTTAGAGCAGTCTTGTGACTTCAGCAGCGCACCGGTTAAAGCTTGTAGGAGGAGTTTTCTTTCTGCTCTAGGAGGATGTGAAACCTTTGACCCTCTGGACAGTGCCAATTGGCCTTGTGCTGATTGTCACGATTGCAGCGTCAGACCCCAGACCTTCTCACCAAACTCATGACCGAAAGACCGGCCGATCTAAAACGCAATGTGACGTGCGTAACAATGCCACACCCAGCTGCACCCTACACAGCGATTTTCCAGCTAATGGTCAACCGATCGATGTGCTGTCAGCCTGAGCGATTGTTACTGGATCGGGTTAATTACGCAACTAACCCTTCACTGCCACCACCCCTTTTTGCACAGAGAAAGGGGAAACTCCCTTTATCAAATATACACTGTAATGGTTGAAAAGTCGTCTGTCCAATACGGTCACTGCAGGCCGATTGGGCAGAGGATTAAACAAATACAGTAGCGTCTCTTTAGAGGCAGGGATTCGTAAATTGCAATTAAAAGCTATAGAAACAGTTCAACACTTTCAGAAGAAATATTTATTACTAAAAGGGTGCAATAAAAACAGGTGCAATAAAAATATTTACAAAGGAGATGTAACTAAGATATAGATATATATATAGGGTTAAGTTACTTGCCAATTAAGCCTTAGCTGTAAGCAGATCCAAGTTTCAGAGCAAAGGTTCTCCCCAGGTGGTATATTGATGTTACAATGGGGAGATGTCTTCAACTTCACTTTTTAGGCCTGCTAGCCTGTGTTTTAAAGTCCCCCCCAGCAGGGGGTGGCTCAGAGTAACTGACCAATACTCTGTTTAGGGAGGGATCGTCGGGCAGACTCTGAATTAGAACCAACATCTGTCATAATCCATGATATGAAACATAGGGGACAAACTGACTTGAGGAATGTTCATTTAATTCTGTCACCTATGCTGCTAGGTTTTATGAGGTTACAATCTCTTTCAATTCCTGGGAAAAGCTGCCTTATCTCGGTTACTAAGTGAGAAATTACATATGTTCTTGGGCAGCTAGTCTCTGTCTCTCTGGTGGAGCTTTGTAGCTCTGGGCCCCCTGCTGGTCTACCTGCCAGTGACACTTTTAACACACACACATCTGTTACTGTGCCTCTCAGGAAGGGAGGGGGAAGGAGAATGAGAAATGAAAGACACAATATATACTCCGTACCAAGATGGAGGTGCCTACAAAATGGTTGAACTGCGTACTTCACTCTGTTTTGCGCAGTTTTTGCGACACTGATCACATGCACTCTCCCGAGAAAAAAAAACCTCTCTAGCTATACTTGCCAAACTGAGCATGTGACCATGGGTTCAATCTGTGTTAGGTGAGCATTTCAACAAGAGAAGGGGCAGAGAAGAAAGGATCAAACAGCCTTTTTACACAATGCAGAGGATTAACCCCTTAGGTTCCACAGTGAGTATAACAAGCATGCTTTACTGCATATACAGACTGATTTTACTGTTGTGGGTTTAGTAACACTTTAAAGTTGATGAGACGGATATAATCAGTGCTGTGCTGAATTACCAACTGCATGAGATTATATAGTAAGACAGGTTCAGCTGGGTAGAGGGGGTTTCTGAAGTAAACAAAGACCAACCATAATCATTGTCGTATCAATAACAGCATGTATCCTAAGATATCTTCATATCCAAAGAGAAGGATGGAGACCGCACATCATCTAGTTCTGAGGAGTTGGTGCAGGAGGAAGCCCAGTCTGCTGATGTTTTTCCCAAACGTAAAGAATATTTCCACTTCTACAGCCAAATTGGGATAACAACTGCTTTATAATTTGTTCCAAGTTCCCATTAACGCTTGCCCGCACCAGATCGCATGGTACAAAACATGCAATCTGGTTGCAATTTGTTTCCAAAAGCAGTGAGCCTAGGCCATGCATTTCTGTGCAATTTACATGCAGTTATGTGTGGTGCAATTTCAGCCCAGTCATTTTGAATATTCTGAAACTGCATCGCACCACATCAAAAGTAATGCATGCACTACTTTTGGAAACGCACTGCAACCGAATTATATGGTACTTTTGTACTATGCGATAGGGTGCGAGCAAACGCACAGTGTTTGTGACCTGTGTTTGGGGTGTCATTAACTTTGCATTGACACCCACTGCAGATCGCAAGGACAGTGTGATTTGAATGCGGTGCGGGAAATCATCACGGAATGTGTGTTTCCTGCCTGCGCCGCGTTTTAGTGTGAATGGGCCCCAAGTAAGGTACAGTGGATATATCAGTAGCCAAGGAAACAAAAGTTCACAAAGTTCATTAAATCACTACTGCCCATTTGTCACAATGGTGGAATTTTAACTCTCAATATGAAAATTAAGCATTAACCTATCTAACAAACTATTAATAATACCATCCTTGTGGCAGTTTTGTTTGTATGGTTTTGTTTTGTTTGAGGGTTGATTCTTTTTGAATCAACATGGCAGAATTTCTCAAAATAAAGGTTAAGTTCAAAATAATAAATGCACATATTTTTTGCAGACAAAAAGTGAATTAATTATTTCTTCCTGAAGTAGCCTGGAAAGCATTGCACCCACGATAAGTAGATCATGGGTTTTATGTGGGCTCCTGCAGACATGTCCTCTGGCTTTTTGCCTGTACATCTGTAAGAGCGTTCTCTTTGAAAGCTGGAGGACATGTCGGTGGACTAATAGAGCGTGCATCAGCATCCCCACAGCCCCTTGAAACTACAAGTCTTGTCTGCCGTGGTGGCAGATGGTACTGGTAGTTTATTCATTCATGGACTGAATGAATGACTCAGCTGTAGAGGCAGAGCCCTGCACTGTTTTTATTAAAAAAAAAAAAAAAAAGAAGGTGATAGCATGTGTGGGGAGAAGAAATACACGAGGAACATTCAACATGTTCCAAAGTTGAACTTCACCTTTTAAGATTACAAAATATAACTATATGTTGGAATATTCCCACCCTGTTGGAATATTTCCACCCTATTTGGTGAACTCCAGCTCTGAGAATCCATGGTTGCGATAGTTGAATGCAGACATTAGCTTCAGAAGGATGAGCTTTTAGTTATGATCATGTTAGTAAATTGAGATGTTACAAAAGTTCATAAAATCTGGAAGCTATAGATGTACATGTGACATGAATGGAAAACAGATGGAAACAAAAGGAAAATGATCCCGGTCTCCCTCTTTACATTCAGTTATTTGAGTCTGTTCAGCGTTGTTTGCCTGGCATTGTGAACCCTTTTATTTGTTTTACCAGAATGACAAAATGTTGTGATAGCTGACGCTTCAGGCGTTTTTTAATTGTGAAATATAAAGTTTCAGCTAGTACTGTGTTTTTGAAATTTAATATTTTCTTTTAATTGTGTTGATCTCTTGAATTTTGTCTAAGGTATAAAAAATCCAGTGTTGGCAGCAAACAAGTTGCTTTTTGAGGGACAGAAGGGAAAACTCTCGGCTGGCAGGATCCCACCTTGGTAATTATATTTCCAAAGAACTCTTTTCTAGACCTTATTAGCATTTCAAGTCACCACATAACCACACTGTATTAATATTTTGTAAAATAAACAACGTTCGATGTAAAATTTTATTTATTCGCTTTATGTAAATGTGCTGTTGTTCAGCTTGATGTAGCGGAGGCAATTTTTAGAAATACAGATTATGGGAGGATGTTAGATGCCTGACTGCATCTTAGGTGCTCACCAATGGCATCCCTTATGATACAGAGGGGAGGCATTTTTTTTCTTATAATAACCACTTGCCTACCGGGCACTTATACCCCCTTCCTGCCCAAGCCGATTTTCAGCTTTCAGCACTGTCGCACTTTGATTGACAATTGCGCTGTCATGCAACATTGTATCCATATGAAATTATTATTTTTTTCACACAACTTCTTTTGGTGGTATTTAATTGCTGCTGGGTGTTTTATTTTTTGTGCTATAAACAAAAAAAGAGCAAAAAAAAAAAAAAAAAAAAAAGTTTTTCTTTTGTTTTTATTATAAAATTTTGCAAACAGGTAATTTTTCTCCTTCACTGATGTACGTTGATGAGGCTGCACTGATAGGCAGCACTGATGGCCACTGTTGAGGTGGCACTGATGAGCTGGCACTGATGCTGTACTGATTGGGAGCACTGCTGGGCACAGTTGGGTGGCATTGCTGGGCACAGGTGGACGGTACTGCAGGGCACAGGTCGGCGACACTGGTGGGCACTGATGATCAGTGCCCTGATGATCAGTGCCAATCTCTTTACTGACAATTGCCGGTTATCGGCAGTACTTTCCTCATGCTGTGACAGCGTGAGGAAAGTGCAGCCAATAACTGGCAACTGTATTTACCCAGTGATCTGCTGTGTCAGTTGACACAGCTGATCACGTGGTAAAAGGCCACTGTGATTGGCCTTTTACCACATTACGTGATCAGCTTTGTCCGTAGGACACAGCGATCACCAGCGGTGACGGGTGTGTGCTGCAGGGGGTGTGTTCCAGGAGGACATGCATGGACACCCTCCCAGAACTAGAGAACTGCGCTGTAGCCGTCTTTCGGATATAGCACGGTTAGGAAGATGCTACAAAAAAAAACCTTTCTTTTGATTTTATTGTTTTACAAGCGTTGTCTAATTTCCTGGACATTAAAATCGTATCCCACCTCTGTCGAGTTATCAGGGAAATGTTTAGGGTACCACACCCCTTACTAAAAGAAACGCCCCAAAAATAACAGCTGAATGTGGTGTTGAAGGTGCTACATAAATTGCCCTTGACTCTGAAAACATATAAATGATGATTCGTTTTTTTTTTTTTTGTTAACAATGCTTAAAAGTATGTAGACATACATCCACTTTATGCACCCTAATCAGCGGTACAGCTTTATACGGTATAATGCGTTAAAATTACAGTTACCTTCTGGACTTCCCCTGGAGTCTTTGACACATTGTTCTGTACAACCTGTATGCCCACTAGTCCAGAGGTTCAACTTTTTTGGCAAAGAGACCAATAGCACACCAGCCTAGTGCATTATTCCAAGGATAGGTTAATAAAAATTGTGTAAAAACATCCTCACAATCAATGTGTAAAAACCTCATATCAGGCTGCAGCCTAATAGTTTAGTGGTAAATTAGACCCAGATAGATCTCAGACACCAAAGGGATGCTGTCCAGGTTCCAAGAAATGGCTTGTGTGTTTTGAGGGAAACCCTCTTCCTCAGAGCCAAATGAGCAGGATCCCGCCATCAACATAAATACTCTACTGACCACAACATGAGAGCCAGAGACTCCTCCCTCATAGCAAGAGACAGGCAGGTATACCGAGGTCATATGACCATGCCCTAAAAAAAAATCACACACCAATATATTGTGCAGGAGGTTACATACATATATAAATAAAAATACATAAGTGTGTGGCTATACAGTAGCTCACTATAGATCTAGGGGTGAAAAGCAAGTACAAGAGGCAAGAAAGATATTTTCATTACAATGATTCTCTGCAAGCCACTCTACCTGCAGTGTTTCTCTGTTTTTATTTAAAAAACTGTGTGATTTAATACCAGTTACCACTGGGCAAATATACAACAGCAAGTCTTGCAGGGGAGGTTTAGGGACACATCCATCTGTGAGTATATACAGTCAAGTCCATAAATATTGGGACATCGACACAATTCTAACATTTTTGGCTCTATACACCACCACAATGGATTTGAAATGAAACGAACAAGATGTGCTTTAACTGCAGACTGTCAGCTTTAATTTGAGGGTATTTACATCCAAATCAGGTGAATGGTGTAGGAATTACAACAGTTTGCATATGTGCCTCCCACTTGTTAAGGGACCAAAAGTAATGGGACAGAATAATAATCATAAATCAAACTTTCACTTTTTAATACTTGGTTGCAAATCCTTTGCAGTCAATTACAGCCTGAAGTCTGGAACGCATAGACATCACCAGACGCTGGGTTTCATCCCTGGTGATGCTCTGCCAGGCCTCTACTGCAACGCTCTTCAGTTCCTGCTTGTTCTTGGGGCATTTTCCCTTCAGTTTTGTCTTCAGCAAGTGAAATGCATGCTCAATCGGATTCAGGTCAGGTGATTGACTTGGCCATTGCATAACATTCCTCTTCTTTCCCTTAAAAAACTCTTTGGTTGGTTTTGCAGTATGCTTTGGGTCATTGTCCATCTGCACTGTGAAGCGGCGTCCAATGAGTTGTGAAGCATTTGGCTGAATATGAGCAGATAATATTGCCCGAAACACTTCAGAATTCATCCTGCTGCTTTTGTCAGCAGTCACATCATCAATAAATACAAGAGAACCAGTTCCATTGGCAGCCATACATGCCCACGCCATGACACTACCACCACCATGCTTCACTGATGAGGTGGTATGCTTAGGATCATGAGCAGTTCCTTTCCTTCTCCATACTCTTCTCTTCCCATCACTCTGGTACAAGTTGATCTTGGTCTCATCTGTCCATAGGATGTTGTTCCAGAACTGTGAAGGCTTTTTTAGATGTCGTTTGGCAAACTCTAATCTGGCCTTCCTGTTTTTGAGGCTCGCCAATGGTTTACATCTTGTGGTGAACCCTCTGTATTCACTCTGATGAAGTCTTCTCTTGATTGTTGACTTTGACACACATACACCTACCTCCTGGAGAGTGTTCTTGATCTGGCCAACTGTTGTGAAGGGTGTTTTCTTCACCAGGGAAAGAATTCTTCGGTCATCCACCACAGTTGATTTCCGTGGTCTTCCGGGTCTTTTGGTGTTGCTGAGCTCACGTGTGCGTTCCTTCTTTTTAAGAATGTTCCAAACAGTTGTTTTGGCCACGCCTAATGTTTTTGCTATCTCTCTGATGGGTTTGTTTTGTGTTTTCAGCCTAATGATGTCTTGCTTCACTGATAGTGACAGCTCTTTGGATTTCATCTTGAGAATTGACAGCAACAGATTCCAAATGCAAATAGCACACTTGAAATGAACTCTGGACCTTTTATCTGCTCATTGTAATTGGGATAATGAGGGAATAACACACACCTGGCCATGGAACAGCTGAGAAGCCAATTGTCCCATTACTTTTGGTCCCTTAAAAAGTGGGAGGCACATATGCAAACTGTTGTAATTCCTACACCGTTCCCTTGATTTGGATGTAAATACCCTCAAATTAAAGCTGGCAGTCTGCAGTTAAAGCACATCTTGTTCGTTTCATTTCAAATCCATTGTGGTGGTGTATAGAGCCAAAAATGTTAGAATTGTGTCGATGTCCCAATATTTATGGACTTGACTGTATATACTCACAGATGGATGTGTCCCTAAACCTCCCCTGCAAGACTTGCTGTTGTATATTATGCCCAGTGGTAACTGGTATTAAATTACACAGTTTAAAATAGAGAAACACTGCAGGTAGAGTGGCTTGCAGAGAATCTGCAGCCTGATGTGCAGTTTTTTTTTATACATTGTTTGTGAGAATGTTTTTGCACAATTTTATTTAATCGCTTGCCCGCCGCCCTATCACAGTTGTACTGCTGCAGGGCGGCATGGCTGCACAAAATTACATGTGTATATATATACATGATTTGCATTTCCGGGTAGGGAGCGTGTGCGCTACCGTGCTGCTATTGGCTGCTGGGGATTTCAATCACTGGGTCCCGGACTCTGTGATCGCCTGCAAAGCTGACAGGGGAGAAACCTGTGTGTAAACAACACAGGTCTCTCCTGTCAGCATGGACGTACTGCTTTGTATCTCTCTGCATATACTGTATGTGTGTATGTATAGATGAAGGTATACAGTGCATTCATAAAGTATTCAGACCCCCTTCACTTTTTTTTTTTTTTTTTCAATTTTGTCAAGTTTCAGCCTGATACTCCAGTTGTTTAAATATATACTGTGCGTGTGTATATATAATAAATATATATAATATGATATAAAAAAAATATAATACCAAATATGTCATACCTGCTCTGTGCAGTAGTTTTGCATTGCACACAGCTGCCCCGATCCCCTTCTTTTTGGTCCCTCGCCAGCTCTCTTTCTCCTCCCCGTCAAACAATGCCCTCAGGGTGTGTCTTTCCAAATCATGTCCAATCAATTTAATTTACCACAGGTGGACTGCAATTAAGGTGTAGAAACATCTCAGCAACTTTCGAGAGAGAAATGGGAGGCACCTGAGCTAAGTGCTGAGTGTTGTTGTGAAGTGTCTGAATACTTATGCCACTGTGATATTTCAGTTTTTTCCTTTTTCATACATTTGCAAACACTTCTAAAATTATGTTTTTCACTTTGGGGTACTGAGCGTAGATTAATGAAAAAAAAATGAAATTAAACAACTGTAGTATCAGGCTGCAACATAACAAAACTGAAAAAAGTGAAGGGGTCTGAATACTTTCTGAATGCACTGTATGAGTGTATGTATATAGGTGGATGTTTACAGTGGGTAAAATAAGTATTGAACACATCACCACAGACCAGCTGAAATCTATCGGTAATTAGAAAGCCCC